TACCCAATTACGTGAAAATAGGTCAACTGGTTCAAAAGTTTCGAACTGAGAAATGCACAGAGAGAGCATGATGATCCCATTAACCTGTTTTTTTCATTCGCGAGAAAATTAAATCGAGCTGAGAATATACGGGACGTTTCCAGCGGACTAAACACAATGTCTTATTTGCGGCGAAGGTTTTTGGCAGAGTCTGTACAGTTCTTCATCATTTCTCTGTAATGCAAATGATTCCGCAGTGAGGAAGCATCTCCTGAATCCGCACATTACCAGTTTCAAACTTACTTACTTACTTACTCATGCAGCTGAGCCCTTCTTGAGGAGCCGCCAATTCTGCAGCCACTCAAGAATTTCCCCGAAGGTTCATTACCGTGTTTAAAAGAACCCTCCACCGGTCCCTATCCTGAGCCAGATCAATCCAATCCATACCATCCCATTCTATATCTCTAAGGTCATTTTAATATTGTCCACCCACCTACGCCTTGGACTTCCCAGTGGTCTCTTTCCTTCTGGCTTTCCCACCAATATCCTATATATATTCATCGTCTCCCCAATTGTGCTACATGCTTTGTCCGTTTCATCCTGCTTAATTTGATCATTCTAATTATACTTGGAGAATAGTACAAGTAGCCGGTCACGATAGCCGAGCGATCTAAGGCACGTACTGTCTTCGCTCGCTTGGAAACCGGGATCGTGGGTTCGAATCTCACTCAGGGCATGGATATTTAGTTTGTGTGTGTGCGTTTTTCTGTGTTTGCGTACAGGTATAGGCCTTGCGACGAGCTGATCACCCGCCCAAGGAGTCCTACCGAATGTGTAAGATCTAGAAAAACCGAAGTGAACGGAGAAATTCATGTAGGTAGGCCTAGGCCCACTGGGGCTGTAGTATCAAGGAAAAATAGTACAAGTTATGAAGCTCCTCATTATACAGTTTTTCTCCAATTTCCCGTCACTTCATCTCTCTTCGGTCCAAATATTCTCCCCAACACCCTGTTCTTAAAAACCCTCAGTCTATGTTCCTCCCTTAATGTCAGAGACCAAGTTTCACACCCATACAGAACCGAAGGTAAAATTTTATTTTTGTATATTATAATTTTTATGTTTTGGACTGCAGACGAGAAGACAAAAGGTTCTGCGCTGAATGATAGCAACCATTACCCGAATAACCGGTTTAAAACAAAAGCAGAAAAATTCCGAAAAAAATTGGGATTGTATGTGATACTTCATCACTTTCACTCAGCACTGTAAGTGCACGTTAGTGGTTGGCTACACATTTATGCTCTTAATTTTTCCCTACTCTTTCCCGCAATAGTCATAGCAGGGTGAACTATGGGTAACCGGCTGTTTTCTGATGCAACAAGGTAGCCACTTACGTATGATATTTATGTGGTAATATTTAGTAGTGTTTTGCGCTAGTCCGCACTTCTCTTGCTCCTAAATCAGTGCAATGGATGTAGTTGTCTGAGCAGGATATTCGCCAGGGATTTCGTATAATTTCCTAATAGACTTCTCATTAAATTGGTTTTACGTTTTTAAAGGAGATGAAGTTTGCAATAATTTCATCTAGTTCGGCGTGACTCTAGACGGGGTTTTGGATTGGATATCGGATTTAGTTATCTCTTTAACACACAAGCCGTAATTACTCTTAATTACAGCGCCATCACTGTTCTTCGCACTTTACAAATCATTGTTACACTCAAGCACTAGTGTTCTCAGTCTGTAACAGTCTCTACTAAACGTTTCCTCGCAACGGATCTAACAATGGCTATTCCTCTGCTTCCGTGCTCAGATCCTCTCTGAACGGAGGCTCACTTCTTACTTCAAATAAATCTCATTACAGACTGACACTCTTCTTCTGACTCCAGTAGAGAACTGGCTTCGTTGCCCCATTGTTTTCTTTATAGCACCTCGGCACTGCTCACATAGACAATGCCGTTCGTTCTCGTATGCGTAGTAATTTCGGCGGGATTGTGTTTACCGACCCGTTGCGTAGCGGCGACCGTTTATATTTTTACTAAAAATCTGCTGCCTAGTAATGGACGTCATTCCGTTGCCGGTTTCGCGGCCGGCGGCTAGAAACTAATGTTGTTTCAGAGCCGCTCGCTACTAACAGCTGTTTCTGTGGCTCCACAGTTCTCATTTGAGCGAGTATGCCACAATATAATTAATCTCTTTCCGCCTACAGAGATACAAATGAAGTGTCTGCGAGCATGGATTTTAGCGGAACACTCGAATGATCCTCCCGTCAAGTCCGGCCAACCCGTTAACCCGTAAGTTCGCTTTTCGTCTGCGTTGACAAGAAAACTCACGGTATAATTATATTCCATAAGTTAGCAAGCGGTCATGCCTCGTTTTAATAAAGAAAGTTTTTGTTTCGTTTGGCAGGCAACATTTCTTGGTGAATAGTACTTTATCACGTACGTAGTACTTTAATGTGCACATGCCGGTAGCCATTTATACGTTTTATAAAGTTACACCGTTCTGAATTTTTCTCTTATTACTGCTTGGGCCTGCATAATATGAAGTGAGACAAGAAACTGTCTTGAATTCAGAGTGGATAAAATTTAAACGAATATAGTAAATCAAGGTAATGCCATGAAGAAGTAAGAAGAATTGAGACATAGTCCCATGAATTCTCAACCTTGCCACTAGTGCGAAAAGAGTGGTCAGCTTCACTTCTCTGCCGATTTTCCCCCCGGAAAGCAGTTCCATTGGAGGATGGGTGGGCTCCAGAGCAGGTCTGGACATTATAGAGAAACAAACGCCGATTCCTTGGCCATCCAGTCGTAGCCTATCTTTACCAACTCTACTCAGAATCGGTACTAGTTTGAAGTCAGACGGTCATGGCTTGCTTCAAGGTACTATTGTAGTGTCTGCCTTGAGAGATCAAGAAAAGCCTGGGAAAATCACAGATATAATACCCGTTACGCCGGCCGAGATGTCAACCGGATATATCCCGAATACACGTAGCTAATACTATACGGATCTTCTAACGGAANATCTGTTTTTTTTGGGGGGGGGGGAATGCACTCTCAACATGGAATAAACGGATGGGAAATACTATATGTTTCACCTCAACATTTTGACCATCAGATTTCATAAAGAATGCTTGAAACAACGTGCCTAATATTCACACAACAGCACGGTGTTAAATATTCCTGCGAGTATAAGATGCTCATATTGCATTTATAGGTTGCTTGGTGTACAATTCTGAATGATGCTATAATCCAGAAACGAGGGCTAGTTAGTGACATAAACAGATACCCGATTCTGTAGACACACGAAAAGGATTTAATTTAACGATTGTAGGGGCATAGAAGGAGGTGTACAGATCAGATGCTATGTAGTCAAGATAGACCCAAAGAACAATATTTCCATAATGCACGTTTATAATATTGAAAAAACGTTGCTCTGCTTCAGAAAATTCATTTACCTGAGACAACTCCAAAAATATCATTTGAAACAATCGCAAGTTATAATCGTATAAGGAGACAAGGAACGGATGGAATCCACTACAAAAATTAAAAATCTCCGTGGCTTTAGTCCGCAAGGGAACTATACCGACCGAGAGACCGCCGCTGGTCGGCGAAGTTAGTGTCAATTTCAGCGGATAGAGGGTGTTACGAGGTCAGCGCAACGAATCCCCACGGACGTTAATTTCGGTTTTCTAGACAGAAGCCGCTACTTCCTTGAAATAGCTCCTCAGTTATCCTCACGAGGATGAGTGGACCCCGTTCCAGACCCACTACTTCACAGAAAACCTGGTAGCGCCGGGAATCGAAACCGGAGGTCTGGATCTGTAGCCAGAAACTCTGACCACTAGACCAAAAAGCGGTCTAAATCCATTATATGGTGTGAAAATTATGTCGAATCTCCACATGTATTTATTATTCAAGTACCTTATACCCTTCTGCCAGAATTTTCAACATTATTAATACCTAACAAATCCCACTACTGGATATTACTCAGAGCCAGTTCCAAATACATCCGTTCCACGCATCGTTTCTCCCCGAGGATCATCTTACAGTATTATTATTATTATTAGGGGGAGTGGGTTTCCCCATGCACTTACACCAGTTATTGGTCCATTGTGCGTCCCCCTTTAATTTCTACCGTCGCCATACACTACCGGTACTGGTGCGTGCTATCAGCCCCGTTCAGTCAACGAGGTCGGCCGTCGGTACCTGATATTTCCCCCATCTACCGGAGGTATTGGAAACTACTTGGGCGGGAAATTGTTGCCTAATTTTGCTCAGAGGTCTCCTAGAGACATGAGGATCTTTTACGTGCCGTAAATCTATGACACGGGGCCCACGGCTTAAAGTCCCTCCCGGAGGACTTGTTCCCTGAATTTTTCCGCCCTAAAAAATTCCACGACCTCCGCCGGGTTTGAACCCGCGCACCTTGAGTCATGAGGTGGGAACGTTACCCTTATCTTACAGTAATTCTCCTATGTCTTTCATAGTTTTCAAATTGAAGTGTTACAATATATTTCCCCTCCTAAATTATGTACGTATTTCTTGATTCCCCCATTTTATCCTAACTCTCAGCAGACTAGAGTTCACTAGGTTACAACGCTAGGTGACCCGCAAGAATTACGAAATTCCTCGTCATATAGTAACCTGAACTGCTCATTTACTTTACGGTTCTGAAAGTCAAAATATTTTCCTGAACACGTTTCTTTTAAACGCTTATATTTTAGTTTATTCCTCTGTTCTTGCAACTTGATATTCAGCGTTTAGAGAAGTAGATGTAATGCTATTCGTTTTTAAAACTTTATTTTTATAATAATTGATGGAATATATCCTCCTCCTAATTTCACAATGTGCCTTCCTCCTTTCGATAATGTTGTTCCCAGAATGTTGTGAAGCGCTCTCAGAAAGTTCGTTCCTTACACCTAGGAGCAATGTACGAGTTGTACAGTGACTTATCGAGGGTTCAGTGAATCCCTTGAAGACACGCGCCTCATAAATGGTGTTTCTAACTTCATGCTTTAATTCCAGACTTACTCACCATGGCAACAAGTACACGAGTGGAGCCGCTGAGAGAACCCATTGCTGCTAAAGTGCAACAGGAATGTCGGAGCTCCATTTATCCTGCGGCAAGTGTTAGGGTATTTCCCTCTGGGTGCGCCCACACGGCTTACTTTCTTCAGTACGCTGAGAAGTTCAGGGACTTTGAAATACGTGAAGACGATGTGTGGATTGTATCCTATCCCAAGTGCGGTAAGCCTAAACACACTGTATTAAAGCAAGCAAAATAGTGTATGCAGTCTTTACTATTTGCATCCTGTTGGATATCATTATGTACGTGTAGTAATATTCTACAACCGTAAACAGAGAAAATTCGTAATAAACAGTGCAAACAGGATCGCAGATAGAGAATAACCACTATCTAATAGCAAGAAGACGTGGTATTATGTACAGAACATAATATTTTTTTTTATTTTATTAGAATTATTGACAATCTGAAGTATACATTTCTTTAAGCCAAGGCGCTGACTAGTGTGCAGAAACACAATAAATGTAACAAAATTTACCACCGTTAATCACATCGAAAGAAAATAGAACAGACACCACTTTCCATCCATCCATCCAATCGATCCAATCCGTCCAATCAATCCACCATCCATCCATCCATCCATCCATCAAATCAATCCATGATCCACCCATTCATCCATCCAATCCACCCATCCATCCATCCATCCAATCAATCTATCATCCATCCAATCAATCCACCATCCATCCAATCAATCCACCATCCAATCAATCTACCATCCATCCAATCAATCCACCATCCATCCGTCCATCCATCCATCCAATCAATCCAATCCATCCATTCATTTATCTGTGCCTCTATAGCCCTTTTTTGGACCTTGGCCCCTATTTCATTTTCTAACTCCTATACACAGTCGGTATGAAACCTTGGACAGGGGGTCAGCCTGTCGCAAGGCCGCTACGTGGACACAGAATAAACGCACGCCTTGAGTAGGATTCGAACCCACGAGGGAAGACAGTTCATGTCTTATACCGCACATCCACTGTTATTGGCTACACTCACCACTCACATGCGTTATGCCAGAACGCAATATGTGCACAAAATTAAAACAACGCAGACTCCCTGAGTACCCCTCTGCTCCGCGATAAACCCTCATAGACCGTCAAAGATCTTAATTGCATTTTGAAACCAATATTCAAATTTGTATTGAAACTAAAATCGTTTGAAATATATACAAGTAATTACAGCCGTTAATATGGTTCCACACTAGCAATAAATTTCAGTACGACTGAATATTTCATGAATATTTGCCTGATGATGAACCGGCTGAATCGAAATATATAGCAAATTTATAAATAAATAAACTTTAATACAGAAATGTTGATTTGTTTTTATGAACGTAAGATTTGAGGTCTTCGCGGTAGTGACTATGAAGATAGCCGTCTTTTGGGATGTGGCGTCGTGTAGAAATTGTGTTAACCGACGTTTTGGAGGAACGTGTAGAAACTGTGTTAACCGACGTTTTGGAGGAACGTATCGCCTCCATCTTCAGAGTAGAAGACAAGAAGAAATCCGCGAGCGAACCAGCTTGAGCAGGTGCAACAGACTGAAGTTTTTCTTTACGAAGTTGTTTTGACGGTTGTAAAATTCACTACTGTATAGTGTATACAGTGCCTCAGGGACATGTCTACTTTGAGTCAGAGGTCTTTAACCCAAGCGCGGTAACATCTGAACTCTAAGAATGAAGTAACTTTTACTTCCTGGCCGCAGTCTTCCGAAGCCAAGGCAACAGCTGATTGGTGTAGCCTTGAGTCTCAGGGTAATTCCGGGCCAAAGTAGGCGAGTGATTTAAAACGTTACCACATTTTGTGAAGTGTAGCAGAAAGATGGTCGTAATACGTACAAGCAAATAAATTTTATATTCAAATCATAATACCAAAATGTGAAAGTAACACAGTTTTGTGATATTCAGCTGCCTTACGACATGAACTCGACCACATTTCTTCGTTCTGGGATACAATGCATTATTTCCTACAGTAACAAATTCCCGGTAGGGCCGCGCCGTAGCTCAAGCGGTTAGTCGCTGGCTTCCCACCGCGGCGGCCAGGGTTCGATCACGGGTACGGTTAAGTAGGATTTGTGGTGGACAAAGTGGCGCTGGGGCAGGTTTTCTCCGAGTGCTTCCGTTTCCCTTGCCAATCTTCATTCCACCAATTGCTCCAAAATCACCCTCACCTATCATCTGGGGCTGGTACAATAGGCCAGAAGTGGCCGCAGTGCAAGGGACTTAGTCCAATCCCACTAGCTTTAAAAAAATTAGTAAGTAAAATATTTTGTATCACGTAGCAATGCCACTACTCAGAAGGAGAATCAGCATAACCATCATTTTTAGAATAATTATTGCAACCCTTCACTGTGCGTTTCGTTTAATACTGTCATTTATTACCCATTCTGAAAACATGGCTACTCTGTGACTTTTCTCCATTAACTGTACTGCATGTTACAAAAAAGAAACACGCTCCTGTGAATGAAAATCACAGCAAAATATGCAGAATGTTGTGAACATACACGTACATATATACATTCATGCATTCTCGTACACATTTAACACAGTATATGACTCTGATACTTCGGAAGATATAGAACCGCATTTGTCTCGTCACGTGGAAAAGTACGAGACATTTGTCTTATAGAAACGTGTAAGTCAGCAAAACTGTTTAGGCCTTAAACTACTTTGACTTAGAACTTACGTAATCTGTTTCAACCTATCATTTGCTTATTTATAGTTTACAAACGACAACGTGGCCGGTCACGGTAGCCGAGTGGTCTAAGGAATGTACTGTCTTCGTTTGCTTGGAAACCTGGATGGTGGGTTCGAATCCCACTCAGGGCATGGATGTTTAGTTTGTGTGTGTGCGTTTTTCTGTGTTTATGTACAGGTAGGAGTTCACTTACATACGCCGTGCAGTGCGGACGTGTTTACCAAGCGCTCCCGGTACCACGTA